TTTTTTTGGCGAATCGCGCCGCTTCAATTGAAGCGTTTCCAGCCAATCAACGGATTGCATTCGGACAACTTCAACATGCACATTTCCTTGACAAACCAACAGCCATCGACTCGCACTGCTGTGCCAACAGCACTCTACATCTACTGTAATATCTCTTGTCGTAGCGGTATTGTGAATGCATCTACGACCAATTATCGCGTCGAAGCCTCGGTGTATTCCACCACAATTCTCCTCAAATTTGAACTACTTCATAGTACTAGCTCTACGTAGTAATGCATGTAGATGCTCTAATCTGCATTGCCCTTCAACCTCCGATCTTTCCCGCTTTCAACTGCATATCCTTTACAGAAAACCAACCAATGCTTACAAAGTTTAGAGACGTAAGCTCACGTGTATTCGCATAGCAATCCATCGACACTGTGCTCTACTCCTCTTAGACCTACAATGATCCACTACTTACAAAGGTTCATACATTTAAGCCTGGATCTCCGACGTCTGCAGATTCTGAGCAAACTCGCGCTCCTTCTCGAACAAAGCTGACGACAGGTAGCGCTCACCGAAACTAGGCAAAATAGCGACGATCAGCTTGCCAGCATTCTCCGGACGCGACGCCACTTTAATAGCAGCCGTCACAGCCGCACCCGACGACGGACCAACCAACATTCCTTCCTCCAGAGCGAGACGCTTGGACATAGCGAAGGCCTCAGTACTGTTGGCCGTTACGACCTCATCAATCAGGTCGGTCTGAAGCACACCAGGCACAAAACCAGCTCCAATGCCCTGGATCTTGTGGGGTCCAGGCTTGCCGCCAGACAACACGGGGCTCTCCTCGGGCTCGACGGCAATGATCTTGATACTCTCCTTCTTAGGCTTCAGATACCGACTGGTACCGGTCAAAGTACCGCCTGTACCCACACCAGCGATGAAGATATCGATCTCACCGTCAGTATCGCGCCAGATCTCCGGGCCGGTCGTCTCGAAGTGGATCTGCGGGTTGGCTGGGTTATCGAACTGGCCGAGGATCAGAGCCTTTTCGGGCTCTTTGGCCACCAGTTCGTTGGCTTTGGCCAAAGCTCCAGTCATTCCCTTAGCACCAGGAGTGAGCACCACGTTGCAGCCGAACGATTTAAGCAGGATACGACGCTCCATCGACATCGTGTCGGGCATAACCAGCGTCAACTTGTAGCCGCGTACAGCTGATGCGAAGGCCAGTCCGATACCGGTATTACCCGACGTGGGCTCGATGATATGCGAGTCCTTCTGCAGACGACCGGACTTCTCGGCGTCCAAGATCATACTCAGACCAATGCGGTCCTTCACAGAGGCGCATGGCTCCATGAACTCGCATTTAACAGCGATCTTGGCGTGACATCCTTCGGTCACGTGGTTCAAGTAGACCAGCGGCGTGTTGCCGATGAGCTCGGTCATGTCCTTAGCGATCTTGGGGGCCATCTTGATGGGGTTGGAGGGCGGGGTGTCGGGGAGACAGCTGATTGAAGAATGATCTCCATGTAGGATATGTGTCCCCGCTGAGGGAAGATACGTGGCCACGAGGTGGAATGCAGCTCAAGCATTCGACGAAGGAGGGCGATAATGACCAATCAGAAACGTGACAAAGTTGAAGAGGGACGTTATAGTCATGTGATTGGCTGCTGGACGCGGGCTCAGCTAGTCGCAACCATTCTACAACTTCGACGTATGGGTCCTCTGGACGGAATTTGGTGGCCCGCCGATGGGTTCGACTCAGTTTCCACAGCGTCTGCAGTTTGAGATGAGCTATTACATTCGCTACGAGCTATAGTCATTCAAGGATATTAGACATCGCCTTGGATCGTTGGTTTTCCACTGTGGAATCCACATCTACGATAGTGAGCTCGATACGATCGATTACCTTGATTTGTTTGTTTTGTATGATGTAGTGATGGTGGACTGTGAACACTACGGATTGGAAATATTCCAACCAACGCCACGTGAAGAAACCAACAATATCAGGCCGACTTAGGCAGACTGACTGACTATCGTATTGAAACTGTTGACCTTCGTTTTTTTATGATGGTCATAGGGCAACCATGTGCTCAATTAATGTATCAAAAAGTCAAATAACCACGACCTGCCGAACCTTTAGCCATAATTTGCAAGACCCACTGATGCGAACTGAATACTTCGGCAAACAACGAGACATCGTCAAGAGGAAAGGATGAAGACCAAAGTGCACGATGGATATCCTCTGACGCTTGAGTAGTCAATGAGACGTTCCCGTTGCATAAAGTTTGTTGTGTTGGGTCTATTATTTTTCTTATCTGTTTTTACTACGGATACAGAATACCACTCCCGGTCTTCTGTTTCATCTCATTCACTACCTCTCTCAATCATAAAGTCCATTCAGGTTCATACATCTTTCTTTTGCTTCAATCCAACATGACACCCTACAGTGGTGCTACAGCACTTAATTCACTCCAAATATCTGCGTCGCACCGTCAATCTGTTGCTTTCCGGATTCAGATATCCTCGGATCAGGAACCGACCAAAGCGGTTCTTCCCTTTACCAAGCACAACATAGCGACTAGCAACGGGCTCTTCATCATCTTCACTGTAATATCCCTCCATATCCTCGTCCTCATCTTCTTCTTCGTCTGACGCTGGCATGGGCAGGAACTGTAAGTCCACTTGGTCTTCTCGGATTTTCAC